TCACGTGTCATTCACTTGTGACCGCGCTTACTTCGCGTTTGACAGTTCTTCCTCGCGATACACTCGTGATCAACTCGCGGAAGCCTGTGTGACCGGCCCTTAAAACATTTGCTTCTGAAAAGAGCAATCAAGTCTTTTTTTTGTTTTTAATTATTTTTATTCCCAAAGAAATAGGAAGTAAACATTTTAACGAGTTTTAAAAACAAAATTTCAAATTTGAGTGTCCTAAAGCCTTGTATCATCAAGAGCAGGTTTTATTTAAAATACTGTAAATATGATCAAATAGACATGTTAATAATGGACTGGGTGATCTCTCAGGTGTTAAAGTACCTGTTTACATTATGACTGGTTCTTCTTTTAAACAGGTGGTTGGGTGGCCTTAGATCATAAGGTCTGTCATTGAGTCACCTGGGGTGGTTTCGATTCCCCACTTGTACGTGACAAGGAGTAGCATCCTCCCACTGCTAAAGGCCCCTATATGGCGAGTGTAGTTAATTAAAATTGAACCATTTGTTAGTCCTGAAAGGATCAAGTTCGTGTGGAGTGTAGTTACTCCTCATGGGTTTTCTCCTGGTCCTCCGGTTTCCTTCCACTGCTAAAGACCCCTACGTGCAAGCGAATTAATGAAATAAAATTGAACCATACATGTATGTTAGGCCCGAAATGACCTATTTGTGTCAAGTGGAGGTTAAACTCTGTCTCTCTCTCTCTCTCTCCTCTCACCAGGTGATAAATTGTGTTTACAAATGACAGGTAGATATTATTGTAGGTGTGTTAACGAGTATACAGGTAAAAATATAGGTGACATATTTCTGTATGTAGGTTTAGAATGATTGACAGGGGTATGACAGGTAGATCAAGGTGATCATATTGGTGACTAATTATCTGGTTGTTTTTCATCCACGTTTTCAAAGAAAAATGATAGAGAGAGAAAAATGTGGTTTAAAATCCAATTTACACAAACTATGTCATTTTAGACTAACATATGGTTCAATTTTATTTCAATAATTCCCTTGCGTGTAGGGGTCTTTAGCCGTGGAAGGAAACTGAAGGACCCGGAGAAAACTTACGAGATTGAACAGACGACCCTACTCCTTGCCACGTTCAACCAGGGAATCAAAACCACGCCAGTTGACTCTTTCACAGGCCTTATGATACAATGTGCATGCGCTAACCATTCAGCCATCCAACCCTAATTTAAAATTGATAACACTCTTAGATTTTAGGCCTAAAACTACAAGGATGATGAACCAGCTGATTTAACTATGTCGAGTGCATATACACCTAGGTGTGTTATCATAACTTTAAATATTATTCACGGAATAGAAATAAATAAAGATTGTAGAAAATTGGATGCTAGCCAATCAAGTACTTAACTTATATTAAATTATTAGAATATATTGGACTCGAATGATAGGTTAATATATCTTTTAATATAATTGACCGAAGTTACCTGAGAAAAAAATATAATTAACTCTTATCTACTTGAAATATATAAAGGTAAATGTTGTAAAGGTAAATCCAATATTGACATCTGTGTATACGTGTAGGTAATTATAGTTTTGGGTGCTCAGGACAGTGTATGCTTATTCAAGATCATATTAGGATCTTTAGAAACATAGAAAAGGCCTGAAATGTTATATAAACTATTTATTAACATGACAAGACCATATTCAGCTCTCGATGCAATTGAATGCTCGAGATTTTAACTAGAATAAAACGGTTCGCCATTTAAAAATTTAATTTAAAAATGGGAAAGCGAGGATAAGTCCCGATTATACCAGTGCCCTGGTTACCACAATGGACACATCTTGTTAAATCTACAAATAGTGATAACTTGGCTCAGAATGAAGTAATTTGAATGAAATTTTCATTTTACATTATCTATTTTTAAACTATTATAGCAAGAATGGTCAGCTCTTTATCTAAATCTTAATTACATTATATCTTTAGTATCCAATAATCATATGAAAGTGTAAAATAATTTGTTATCTTTCGACATGAAACAAAACTTTGATGTCTATAACCTTGTTTTTTATTATGTCTTGTATTTAATCCCAAGGCTTTACCATCTTTTTAAAATAAAAAAACCATATTACATGAATTATTCTTTAAAAAACATGTTCATTTTAACATATTTCTGATTAGAAAATGAATAAAAGAATATTTTTACAGTTAATATCCTGGGTCGTTCTTTAAATTAAAAAACTGGTAATCATATTAAAAATAAAATATTACATTTATAAACTTTTGTAAAAGAAAATTTGTGAAAATAATTGTTTTCGCTATTGATATGTTTTCCTTGCTACCTCGTGAGTTATCTCAGGTTACCTCCTACTAATAAACACGCAAGCAAATTATTAAAATAGAATTGAACCATATGTTAGTCTCAAAATGATCTAGTATATGTTGAGTGGACATTAAACCCCATTTCTCTCTCTACTTTTTTCTGTCTTTCTCTCCTTCTGTCTCTCTGTATTAGGGGGGTTGGATGGCTGAATGGTTAGCAGATGCGCGCTGTATCATAAAGTCTGTCATTGAGTCAACTGGCGTGGTTTCGAATCCCCGGTTGTACGTGACAAGGAGTAGGGTCACCTGTTCAACCTCGTGGGTTTTCTCCGGGTCCTCCGGTTTCTTCCCACTGCTAAAGACCCCTACGCGCAAGCGAATTATTGAATGAAATAAAAAATTAAAACCATACGTTAGTCCCGAAATGACCTAGTTTGTGTCGAGTGGACATTAAACCCCATTTCTCCCTCTCCCCCTCTCTCTGTGTTTGTCCATCTCACATCGCTAGTTCAGTAGCTTTTGACAGTCTGTCATTATATCCAGGCCTGTATGTTAGGGTATCAAGTATCCGAGAAAAAAAAAAACAACAGAATATTGGACAAAAGAATGACAAAAAAACAAAAACAATCTAGATGTACCAGTAAGTAAATTTTCATCAGATATAGGAGTGACGGTTTTATGGTGGTCTTTTCATGGCCTGAGTCCCTTTTATTAACCGTGAAAAAAAACCAGTTTGTGTAAATCTCTGATCTAAAGAAAATAACACGTTGAATAATTTCCACCCTGTGGAGCACTTTCTATACCTCGACCTTCGACCTTTTGTTATTATTGAGCCAAGTGTTAACACCCTTGCTGTCCATTAACCGTGGTGATCAACTATCGGACCGCACTAAGAATAATAGAAATGTATGTTAATTGATATTTAAAGTAGAAAAAAAACTTGGTCCTCCGGTCGTTACACTTTCTCAAACAAAAAATAAGAATTGTCTTTAATTTCAGTTCTGTATTTTATATTATACATAAATTAGTATTCTTTCATACATTTACATATATATTTGAATTGCTATATGCAAAATTCCTGTGAAATTGCAAAAAATGGAACTGAGATTGCAAAAACCCAATTCTTGATTCTGAGGTTGCAGAAACTGAATTCAATTGCAAAAGTAAATAATTTTTTGTTTATTAGAGTTCATCAGATCTCTGAAATTACCGACTCTGAGATTGCAAAAAACTGAATTAGATTTGCAAAAATACATTTAAGTCAGCACATGGAAATGGAGTTATCTTTTTTTTTTTTTTAAATTCCATGAAAATATGACTAAATATCTGACTAAATAAAAGTATTTTTTTATGGAACGGGAGGAGATCGAAATATGATTGTTATCAGAAAAAGTAAATTATCATGTTAAGTTTATTAAAATTATTATAGACTAATATTCTGAATGTATTTCACAAAATTACAATTTATGTTACCATCATTTTTGCTATTAAATTTTCAATAGTTCTTCTGTTGGCATGGAAACTTGAAATAATAGTTTTTTAGACTAACATTTTGGGTTAATTTCACCAAATTACAGTTATCAACTTTTCTGCATGTAAATTGTGTGTATGAAACCGTTTGATCATTAAAGCTATTTTAGACAACAGTTTACGTGTATTTCACCCAACTGTATTTCGTGTTATATATCGGACTAAATAAAGATATTTTAGACTCAAATTATTGGTTTATTTCACCACATTATTGTTTACCACCAAATTCTCTACATTTGGATTGTTTATATTGGAATTTTGAATATTAAATTAACAATTTTGGGTTAATTTCACGTTATTAAATTAAGTTATTTTAATCGAAAATTATTGGTTTATGTGAACAGATTACTGTTTTTATACTTTTCTCCGTGTAAACAGCCTGTATGATTTAACCATGTAAACAGCCTGTATGATTTAACCATTAAAGTAACGATGCGCCATCCATATCTGTCGCTGAAATATCAAATTTCTTACAGCTTTATTCACATATGAACTCCGATTAATTATTTAACATTTATTAAGAAAACAAAATCAAAATTTTCATGGACAACAAATTGGCAAAACGAGCAGTAGAGATCGATATAATTTCAATTCCACATATCCTTGTAAATACTGAACGATATTGAACCATTTTTGATCTGATATTCCTATTAGAGATTCATCTTTTACGATATTGTAGTCTACAAGTAATTTATATTGTTTAAAATGGCGCTTCGGGACTTTAAAATAAAGACTTTGGATTTATTTCCCTAAATTACAGTTTACGATATTCTAAAACTAAAATTGTTGGTTTATTTCACCAAATTATGGTTGATCACCATTTATTTAAGCTCCAACTAATAACGTGAAATTACACTCTTCATATCACATATTAACCACTTTAAATGACCGTCTTTAGTTTTTTATCAGATATGTTAATTGACAGGTAGAGAAAAGGTGATCTGCGTCAACCCACGTCCTCGGTCGTGCTTCATTGAATTCATGAAAACAAAGCCTGTATTGAGAGGCGTGTAGTTTTCCCACCACCTGAGTTGAATATGTGTCGTGTTTATCAAGTAGTTGAGTAGGCGGTGTTTATGGACTAGGTGAAAGCTTGCTAGCGGCTGTAGGCATGGTTTGCAGGTACATTATTTTTTGTCACTAACACATGCATAGGTAGGTTTAGTTTTACAGGTAACATGGACAAGGTGAATGTTTTTAGTGACAGTGTATGATATGGGATATGAAAACCTTCGACTTGTTGAGTATATAAACATTACCTGACACTAGGATACCTGTACAGTTTTATCAACCAATAAATAGATTTTGTCGTCTAGATGAAAGAAGGCAAACAGTGTTAGTGTAAGGGACACCTATATCGGATATTCAGATCTTTGGATTTTTTACTACATATACAAAAATTATATCAGACAATTGAAAGAGTGAACTGTATGGCCAGGTAGAATTAGATTTCAGGTATGTTTTGCCTTTACCTGTGGACAGTGTTATAGGGACACCTATATCGGATTGTTATCCAGCCCTTGTTGAATTGTTTACTGGGTACAGAAAGTATATCGGACAGTTGAAAGAGAGAACTGTATGGCCAGGTAGAAATAGTGTTCAGGTATGTTTATCCTTTACCTGTGGCCAGTGTTTGTTAGTGTTTTTGTGATCAGGCTGAATATAAGACAATTAGATATATGTGTTAAGTTTTATGAATTGGAGGAAAGGTAAATAATATGGTATGGGTTGTTTATTGAGGTATTTTATTTTCATATTTTGTCGTTAACCTGGACACTGATTACCTTGTTGTTACCTTAATCCCCAGATAACAGATATTCATATTGACATGGTGTATGGACAATAAGTATATTTAGGAATTTTTAGACAGGTATTGATGAAATCTCATGAACATTATATTAGTTACATATTGAAATAGTATATGGACAATAAGTATATCTAGAGATTTATAGAAAGGTTTTATTGAAATCATTTTAACATGTATTATGAGTTATATATTGAAATGGTATATGAGTTATATATTGACATGGTATATGAGTTATATATTGACATGATATATAAGTTATATATTGACATTGTATATAAGTTATATATTGGTATGGTATATTAACATAGTATATGAGTTATATATTGACATGGTATTATAGACTAGCGATTTATAGAAAGATATTAATGAAATCATTTTAACATGTATATGAGTTAGATATTGGCATGGCAAGAAAATCGACATATTATTTTCTTCTGATTGCTAATAATAAAATTATAGTAAATGATTTCCTCTGTGACTGTTCATTTTTTGAAGTTGATTGAATAAAGTTGCGGTTAATTATAATGATTATATTTTCACAAAGAATTGATAAACTTGAAATATTCCAGATTATGAACAGACTGCCTGGCAACTAGTTACAGGTTACTGTTGAAGTGTTCACGTCTGTGTTGTACCGAGTTCTTGTTATTATTGATATCTTCTGGTCAATATTAAATCCATTAAACATTGTATTTTCAATATTATCTGCTGAGTATTGCACTTATAATCACTGGGATGGAAGGACGTCTGGTTGAATTACCGCCTGGAGCAACTTGAATCCGTATCTCGACTTAGTGGTATGTTATTGAGTAGAGAGGGTGGCTGCTTGGTCGTGCGCTTTAGATCATAACGTACGTCATTGAGTCAAATGACATGGTTTTGATCCCATACTTGAACGTGACAGGAAATAGGGTTGCCGTCTGCCTAGCCTTGTGGGTTTTATCTGGGCCATCTGGTCTCCCTCTAATGGTAAAGATCCCAATGTGCTAGCAAATTATTGAATTAAAATAACACCATATGTTAGTCCCAAAATGACCTGGATTGTGTTGAGTGGATGTTAAACCCTATTTCTCCCATTCTTTATATAGTTGTGTGGACTCAGGCTTAATGTTAGTTTGTTACCTGTCAACCAACTGTCATCAACAGCCTTAGGTCGGATTATTGGATATTTTTACCTGTTGATTTCACCTGAGGTAAGAAAAGGTGTGATTAACTATTGATTAACTAATCATCAGATTTACCTGAAAGGTGTTTATTGATACAGATATTGATCTATAAAAATTTAAAAATCACCTTTTTTCACGTAATCTTTAGAATTGACTGTAAGTTTAATTGATGATTGTCAGGTTGCTATGGTAACCAATGACAACTTATTACTATTTTTCTTTTGATTGTTCTTATAACATTGTGAAGTTTTTCTGATCGAAGGCTCGGGTTACCAGTTGAAATGAAACATGACGTCATGTCAACGCATCACTTCAGTTATAAGTTTTGCCTGGACAGGAGCGTTTCCTCCTAGTCGTCATCAAATTGTATATATGGTCAGGCCTGGAAATAACGGTTTTAGATTTACCGGACACAATGTCAGGCACTAATAGTACCTGACATTTTCAACTTAGTGCCAGACATATATTAATAATATCAAAAAAAAAGACAAATCAATGCCAGACAAAATGACAGGCACCAGAGGTTTTGTGCCTGACAAAGCCTCAATCTGTGCCTGACATTGTCAGTGACAGGTGCCTTATTTCCCTTCTATATCAGGTCAAGGGTTTTTGTCAACACTTCACTTTGTTTATTTTGGGACTATCGTAAGGTTACTTTCTTCTCTATGGTCCTCTATACAATGCGAGGGGAGTGAATTTTGCCCTGACAGCAGCATTTGCATCTACGCTTCATTGAATTCCAACAGTCAAGGATTCTGTTATGTGTACTTAACAAGGAGAAGGGTCGCCTGTCCAACGTCATATATTTTCTCCAGGTTCTCCAGTTTACTCCCAGTGATAAAGACCATATGTTAGTCCCAAAATGACCTAGTTTGTGTTGAGTCGATGTTAAACCATCTCTCTCTCTCTCTCTCTCTCTCTCTCTCTCTCTCTCTCCAGGTTCTGTAGTTTACTCCCAGTGATAAAGACCCCCACGTACGTGCAAGCCAATTATTGAAATAAATTTGAACCATATGTTAGTCCCAAAATGACCTAGTTTGTGTTGAGTCAATGTTAAACTCTCTCTCTCTCTCTCTCTCTCTCTCTCTCTCTCCCTCTCTGATATATATAAAATAAAGCTGTAGTTATTTCTTGTAATTTCATATAATAATAATAATATATCATGTCACATTAAAGGTACTTAACCTATAAATAAAATTTCATAGACAGATAATTACCTAGGTGGACAGGTATAATCTACAGGTAATAATAATTGTATCAGATGATTCTCACACCCAAATATAGCTAACCTAAATGTATCAGGTACGATAAAATTGATACCTATGTTGAAATTATGATCTTGAGTTTTTTATTTAAATTTGCGGTTTCTGTTTGTAAGTTTATCCTTTGATAATAGCTAGAATGAATTACCACATCAAAGTAGATAACTTGAATACCTGTTGTAAGATTACAACACCTGTACACAATATCAGGTAAAAACTCAGGTGAAACACGAATACAATAATCCCCTGGTCAATGTCTCGTACACTACAACTAAATCTCAATACAAATTATTCTTTATCTCCCGAGATCAGTGAATTCCTTCGGAGATCATCCACCATTAATCCCATTGTTCATAGAATACTACAATATGTTATTGAAGGATTCGTGTCGTCCAAAGATAACAATGGACGATTTATCTTTCATCATTTTGTAAACAGGTCAACTTGTCATCTCCGAGCCAGGGTGGCTGACTTTCTAGACTATAGCCTCTAGGGTTATATTGGTTGGCAGATTGGATATTAGGAGACTTTACTTTCTTAATGCCAATCAGAAGATTAATCTTGTTCTTATCTCACTATCTCACAAGCTGCTGTAGCTGGTGAGACTTTAGGCTACATATAGTATAGCAGGGGATGGAGTAATGCGCTTTGATTTCTGGGTTTATTAGTCTTTGAGTTTCAGCATCCCCAAATTGAAAGAAATCGTACATGTGTTTCTCCTCCATATTTTAGAATTATTTATTTTATTAAGAATAATTTGATCATTCCGATATTTTACTTAAGTATGTAAACATTGGCATGTACGTAAAAGAACCCTTGACTGTTAGAATTCGATATAAGAGCTCCATGTCCGGGCAAAATATCCTCATAGCACACGACATGGCGTAAGCTCGTCTTCTTTAGCCTAGTCGGAGCAGAACAGTAGAATGCTAAACCCCATTTCATTTCATTTACCTGTGTTCAGTATCTACCTGCGTTCAGCATCTACCTGTGTTCAGTAGGTAGAGTATATTATACATGATTTAACCAACTGTATATTTAAATTTAAACCCAGGTAAGATGATCAGAGGTTGTGGTAGATTATGTCACATCCACTTCTAGTACCTGTTTTATCCTGTGGTAATTGTCTGTCCACCGTTTGTAGGTTGTTAACCTCAAGTGGATCAAGTAGGGGGTCTGTCTGGTCTCTTTATCTAAAGACTATTATCTCAATTAGGTTTATGTTGTAACTAAATCTAGTGGCAGGTAATAGTTTGATAAAACATCCCAGCAGGTGCCCCCATTACTATTGGATAATAAACATTAATAGATAGAGACAGAGGTAGAATGTGAATGTGTTTAGTTTACTATCATACTATATGGAATTACTACAGAATGAATTGAAGAAACTATTGTTGGGCATTCAGTACTACAGTAGGTAAAGTCATTTTCAATATTCTATTTAAACACAGAAACTCCTAGGCCATGGCCCTGTTTCTCAAAATCTTAACTAAAGATAAAATCCAATTTTAGTAAATACTTTAATTTTGATTGGCTAAGCACTAAAATCAGTCTAATATTATCCAATCAAATTACCAAAATTTGGATTTTATCTTAGTTAAAATTTTGTGAAACAGGCCCCAGAGTCATTGTCAGGCACAAAATATTCTGGTCTCTCATTGAGTCAAGTGGCATGTACGTGAAAAGGAGTGAAAAGGAGTGGGTCGTCTTTCGAACCTCGTGGGTTTTCTCTGTGTACTCCCTATGCTTTAGTCCCGAAATAACCTAGTTTGTGTTGAGTGGATGTTAAACTCTATTTCTCACTCCATTAATCATTCCACAGAGAGAGAGAGAGAGAGAAGAGAGAGAGAGAGAGAGAGGGGGGAGAGAGAGAGAGAGGGAGAGAGAGAGAGAGAGAGAGAGAGAGAGAGAGAGAGAGAGAGAGAGAGAGAGAGAGAGAGAGAGAGAGAGAGAGAGAGAGAGAGAGAGAGAGAGAGAGAGAGAGAGAGAGGGGGGAGAGAGAGAGGGGGAGAGAGAGAGAGAGAGGGAGAGAGAGAGAGAGAGAGAGAGAGAGAGAGAGAGAGAGAGAGAGAGAGAGAGAGTATTAGAGCAGCATCAGGTGCTATATAAAAGATAATTAGAAAAATATTTTTATAAACCAGAGTGATAAATGTTGTTATATTTGTATACATGGACATTGATGTAAGTATGTTGTCTTTTATGGACTATAGACCTGGATATACAGTTTATAGTTGTATCTAGCTGACATAATGTCAGGTAATACTGAAGTTTTACCTGATGTTTAAAACTCTGTCATGTATTAAAAATATCAATAAAAATACAGTAAAAAGACAAACCTGGGCCTGATAAAATGACAGACACCAGAGTG